ATTCAAATCAGGTGTGTTTGAGCAGAGAAAAAAGTAAAACATGCAGGGCTGCGGCCCTCGAGGACCAGGATTGCCCACCCCTGATTTAAAAGGAAATGAACTGAATTTCCAACGGTAAAAGATTTATTACCAAGAAACATCTATCAAACACTAARTTACTTATTKTTTGTGCTAATTTTATACATTTATTATATACAGTGGTGGGAAAAAATAGTTCCACTAYCKCRAAAACACTAACTCATATTTAATTCCCCTAATTCTAAAGCACTAATGCARTGAAAGTTTTATCCAAAGCTAATCCTAAAGCACTAAATTAACCCAGTCAGCCCATGAACATTGTTTACCAGACAACATGAGTCACATGTTGCTCTCAGACACACATATGAACAAAATGATTGACATCTTTCACCCTCAGCTGTTAACATTAATGTTGATCAATAACATTTATAAACCTCAGTTAGTGCTTCTAAATTTAGTTAGTGCTAATCCACTAATAAAATTTTAAATTAGCAAAAACTCTAAAGCACTAAACATGAAATTGGTTCTCCTATTAGTGCTTTTTAGGGGAACTGTTCCCACTGATTATATACAATAATATATAAACTTATAAATTTGCAGAGGAAAACAATTTTGAAGACAATGGCCTGCATGTTTTCATCCCTCATGGACTGAAGCCTCGTTATCTTTATGAAAAACAAAACTAGATTTTTCATAAGTCTTTTCTGATGTGGATGATCTCAGTGTATTTACACCTGCAAGAAGCATCATGAAGACCAAGGAACTGTCCARACAGGTCAGAAACAACACGGAGAACAGATCAGGGTTAGGTTATAAACARCTCAAAGCTTGAACATCGCACAGCAACTTTAAATTCATCCCTGCCACACCAAACCTGCTGCGAGAGAGAGATCATCAGAGCTGAAACCAAAGAAGAAAAGATGGATGGAGGAGGATCCAGAGGTCCATCTTCAGCAGGACTCCCCACACCCTGCTGAAGCAACTCTGAGAATCTCAGCTTGGAGACAACCAGCACCACCCAGCCTGAAGGAGCTGCAGCGGTTGGGTCATGAACCCTTCAGATGGACCAGGACCATGGGGATCCACTGCTGGACCTTCAWTCCTTCAGACAGGTGAAGACTGATGATGAAGGTCTGCACCGTTCTTCTGTTTCATCCATCCTCTTCCTCTCTGAAGTTCTCAGAGTCCAGCTGCAGCTGAGGCCTTGTTCCTTCAGTCACTACCCAACGTTCCTGACCACAGGTGAGGGTAGGACCGTACACAGCTGTATTTAGAATGTCTGATACCACTTTACACTAAGGCTCCCCTTATAAACAGTTATAAGGCTTATAAACAGTTATAAGCCTTATAAACAGTTATAAGGCTTATAAACAGTT